TTTGTTAATGATCAACAACCTTTTATACTGTTGTTTTGATTTATGCGTCATATTTAATATAATCTTCTGCTACAGTTTTTTTAGCAGAGTGTTAGGTATCTTGGTAGAGGATCAAATATGCTAACTCATATACTTGGAAGTAATGGGAAAAAAGCTACCTCATTGTGGGGCTATCCCTTATTTCCTCGTTCATTTACACATTTATGTTTATCTGTAGGGAAAAATTACTTCTTTCAGGACCTGATGAAACAAAGAATACCTTTTCTGTTATGAGCCTTTGTTTTATGAATAGTTCATTTCTTCATCTGCAAATTCATCTTTCATGAATGGAGAGTTTGGTGAATAGATTATCCGCTCACTAGTGACTATATTTGTGTCTGGCTCTATGTGGTTAAATTACCGTTCCTTGAGAAGGCTAACTGGATATAACAACAGCAAGTTGCTTTCTCCTCCTTGCCTCTAAATCTTCAATGAAAAGTGGCTACAATACAGACTGTGCTAAAATTCTCACAGCAATCTACTTATTACTGATAGTCCTCACTCTGGGGAGCTATGGAGATAGCATCACCTGTTCGTTGCTTCTTGTCTTGTAATTCTGTAGCAAGGAAAATCAATGAATGTCAATTATCTGTTTTGTTTACTTAAGTACAAGAAACTTATCCTTTCCTAGTGGGACTACTGAAGGCTTGCCTTTTAATTGGCTTGCCTTTTAATTGCAAATGGCCAAAAAGAGAAAAAAGATATCTTCTATCTTCGGTTATGTAGTGATCATTTTCAGTCTGTCTTCTATCTCTTTGCTACTTTTTGTAGTTGATGCCATCACACACACACAAAAGGGATGAAATATATTTATGACAAAATATTGTGTGGTCTTGGTACTAAAGTGATTTCATCTGATAGAAGTCTAGCAATGTAAGTAGTGATAGGGCTCTGCTTACAACTAGTTTACCCCCAAGCCTCCAACCCTTAAACTTCACCCCTCCTCCTTTGCTTGTTGTTACCTTTTCCAGTATTAAAGAATACATTTTAAAAGAAGATAAAATTATGAATGCTTTTCTTCCACCTTAGCGAATAGAATATTAGGAGCTTATAACACTAGCTGATCTCAATTTTTGTGTGATTAATCTAAATCAATTGAGAAACCGAGTATGTACATGTTTATAATTTTTTTCCATTTACATTTGAACAATGCATTTTATTTTTTTGTATAATCTTCAGCTCATATTTGTTACTAAATTTTAGAAAATTTCTTAACTTTAATCTGGTAATCCTTCATTCTCATTCTGTAACTTCTGATGTTCTTTTCACATTTATGACTTCCTATTTCTTCACATCATAAGATGGATCTTCTTTAATAGTAGTGGTGATGTTTAACTAGTTTAGGAATTACAAAAACTCATTTCAAAGCCACATTTTTCATTTTCTTACATTGACTTGTGTCTTCACAGGGAGATCTAATCATTTGAAACTTTTGGCATCTTTCTTTTATTACAATGTAAAATTTAGTAAGGCTGGTATATCTAAAAAAAAAAAACCCCTTCCTTTATGGACTTCAATGGTAAGAAAATTAGTACTAGATCTTTTTTCCTTTGATGTCAATTTTTAATGTATTTTTAAAATCCCTTTCTTTGCATAAGCACTTTTAATCATGGGCTACTGTGACTATCTTGACTGAAAATGATCACCCTTAGAATAAGAAGTTTTGCTGGCATATTAATTGTCAACAACTAGGGGCCCCTGGGTGGCTCAGTTGTTAACCATCTGCCTTCGGCTCAGGTCATGATCCCAGGGTCCTGGGCTCGAGCCCCGCATTGGGCTCCCTGCTCAGCGGGAAGCCTGCTTCTCCCTCTCCCATTCCCCCTGCTTGTGTTCCTGCTGCTGCTCTCTCTCTCTCTCTCTGTCAAATAAATAAATAAAATCTTAAAAAAAAATAAAGAAATAATTATCAACAACTAACTTTAATATAAAATTGTAATTATGTAATTTAAACTCCAAAATAATTAATTTGCCCATTCAATAAAATTCATTGAGTAGCTATTACGTGCCAGGCACTATTCTAGTTGCTGGAAATAGAGCAGTGAACAAAATAGACAATAACTCATGCCCTTGGGGAGTTTATATTGTAGTTGGGAAGTATAAACAATTAACAAGGAAAAAAATAAAATTTATAGTATACTAGATGGTAATAGATATTAAGGGGGAAAATAAAGCAGGCAGTGCAAATAGAAATCGTGTCTGAAAAATGTGCAATAATTGATAGATTGGCTAGGGAAATCTGCACTGATAAGGTGATATTTGAGAGAATACTGGAAGGAGATGAAGAAATGAAATAGGAGAGATGAATATTCCAGGAAAGAGAAAATAGCAAATGTGAAGTTCCAGGATCATGCCAAGTTATGCTCCAGGAACAGCAGAGGCCAATGTGGCTGGAGTAGAATGGGCCAGGGCACAAATTGAGGGTAGGAAGACTAATGGAGTAGTGTGGAGGGCAGATCCCTGAGGGCCTTGTAAGTCATTTTTAGAATTTTGGTTTTTAGTCTAATTGAGATGCTAAGCCTTCAGAAGTTTTTGAGCAAAGGCATGATTTATTCTGACTGAGGTTTTAAGGGGACCGTTATGCCTGACTTGAAGAGACTAGAATGAAGGGGGGCAAGGGCAGAAGCAGGAGACCAGGAAGAAGGCAAGAGATGATAATCCAAGTGGAATTTCTGTGTAACTTTAGAAGGATTACTGATCTAGAAGGATTACTTAAAAAAGCCCAAACTTCAGAAATAACTGTCAATATTTGTTTAAATAAGATAAATATTTTAATCAGTCTAAGATATAAATAAAGAAACAGCACAAATATTGAGCAAGCAGTACTTAAAATACACATTTATTGTTGAATAATACATCAGTATTAAAACTGTTATGTTTCCTTCATTGTATCATATAATCATCATAACCATTCACAATTATTGGTAGTTTAAATTACTGAGATAAATACTGTAATTATGTAGGCCTCATTACTTGAATATTTAAAAAATTTATTTTCTTCCCTGGAGTTGTAAAATTTAATATTATCTTTATTTATTGTTTTAATTTTACTTTTTGTTTCATTTTTAGATTCAGAGAAAATTAAATTATTGCATTATAACTTGGAACCATATTGCTAAGTATTTAAGATATGTTAAAAATCTTTAGCATAGACCGAATCTTTTTTTTCAGTTTTATAGCTCAATTATTAATACTTAGACACCTGTTTCTTTCTTTATATAGCTTTTGATATCCTCTTGTATTATTACATTTTACACAATGTTCTAATTGCTTTTTACCGCTGGGAATACAAATATATACAAAGTTCAAATTTGTTAAAACTGTTAAAATTTGTAAATATTTTGAAAACTTCAGTAAAAGCTCTACTATTGGCAGATTAGCATTCCCCAGATGAGGAAATGAGGGAATTGACGATTATGTGTAACCATGGACAAGGTAATTTACTAATCAATAGCAGCCCCTGGGAGCGAGCAACAATTCCTCTAAATTTTAGATTGTGTGTACATCCAAGTTATCTTTTATCTTCCAGACGTGGAATTTTGAATCCATGATGTAATGCTAATGATGAACAAATTAGCAGAACTGCGAAGTTTTTAGGGTCCCATGTAGAACAAAGGACAGTAATTTGGAAATACCGTTCATAACCCTTTTGTTCTGCCTTTAAATTTGCAGTTGCATAGTTTATTAAAGACGTAAGACTGTAAGAAAAGCCCAGGGGTTGTTTTAGCAATCAGCGATTGATTTTAAATGTAATGCATAATTATTTTTCCCCCTATCTACTGTATGCTAATGAATAGGACGTATTCTTGATTAAGTGGCTTTTCAGAGTCATTTACAAAGTATACTTATGTGTCACTAGCCAGATCTTTGACCATACAAGCAGAGCACACTCGTCCGGTCCTCTCCCTTTCCCTTTTTTTCTTTGCAAAACGAAACGGGCTAGAACGTGTTCCCGTGATGCTAGTGACGTCAGTCCCAACCGGGTCGCGTGACCGACACCCAACCTTCCCAGCACCCTGCCCCCGCAGCCAGGGCAGGAAATCTCGCGAGAAACCGCTTTACTATCAGAACTTACTGAGGTTACAGGGGAGTTACTCTGAAAGGAAGGTGTGGCTCAATGGGGGAGTTTTTGCTTTCATTCTAGCGTTCATGGTCGAAGCAAAGGCCTTCGGGGGTTGCCAGAGTCTGAGCAACCCAAACTAGAAAACGGCGGGGGGAAGTGGAGAGTGAGGCGGCAGTCATATCAGAAGTGAAACGTGGCGCACGGCGGGCGTCGCCCCTCGCTAAACGGGCTGGGAGCGGGCCGCGGGGCTTCTGCTGGGGTGGGCCCGGAGTCACTGGGAGGCTGTGGGAGGCTGGAACCCTTCTAAGGAAGCTGTCAATTGCCCACATCCGGCCCCCGCTGTGTCAACACGGAGCGGCGCCGAGATGAAATGGTGGCTCACCTCGCCCTCCCACCCGGGGCACCGCGGTTCGCGGGTCGGCTTGGAGCGGTTTCTAGTGCCCCGCGCCCCCAACAGGGCTGGGGGCCTCCACGGGCCCCGGCAGCATCCCCGGGCAGCTCACGACTTAACCCAGCATCTTTCCGCTAAATCAACCCCAGATTTAGGCAGCAGCTTTATAGCGAGTTTAACTGGGTAATTTTGACGTCTCGTCTCCTTTACCTAAACCCTCTGTAGGCTTCTCCCTCGTACATCCTCTTCCACCCACCTGGTCTCTCCCTAGACGGGTTTGCGCGAGTGTGAGACCCAGGGGCGGGAGAGCGAGATCCGCGAAGGCATAGGGTTGGGAGTCGCTAGAGGGAGGTGTGGGACCGGCGAGGAGGGGGCTTCGAGAGGGAAGGAGTGCTGGCAGGCGGAGGGAGTGGTGGGAGGAGGCGGCGGGGGGTGGTGGTGAGGGGGTAGGAGGCGGAGGCCTGGGGACGGCCGACTAGGCTTCGCCCCATCCGAGCGCTCTTTTCTCTCGCCGCGCAGTCTCGAAGCAGCGCGGGCTCGTGGGGGAGCGTCAGGCAGCCGAGGTCCCCGCGGGAGGCAGGCCGGCCCCGGGCGCGCACGCTCGGCCGAGCCCCGGCGCGCCCGGCGCCCGCGCCTGCTGACAGCTGCAGCTGGGCTCGAGCTGTCCGCTCCCAGCTCCTCGGCCTCCGCCCCCTCGGGCTCCCTCCCCTCGGCCCCTACCCCTCCAGCCCCGGTGCGCTTGTTTCGCAACTGCTTGCCTCTCGCCCCGTGCCCGGCTGTTTTCCATTTCCCGGCCCCTTCTTCCTGAGTACTTTGCCTCCTGCATTTGGGGAGAGGGGCTGGAAGGGGGGCGGGTGGAGCGTCCAGAGGAGAAGGACGCAAGGGCCGGAGGAGGAGGAGGAGGAAGAGGAGGAGGAGGAGGAGGAGGAGGAGGAAGAGAATCGGCGGACCGTGGGGAGGAGACCCCACGCCACCCTTTCTGGCCATCTCCCCTCCCGCCCCGCCCCTGCGCACACTCCCTCCCGGGCGAGCTACTTTCGGACGAGGAAAGTGAGGGCGGCCCTGGGTGACAGCGCCGTGGGGCCAGTCCCGGGGAAGCCGCGCGTCTGTTCGAGTCTCGTCTGCCGCGCTCCCAGCCAGGGACCGAGGATGGCTTCGACCACAACCTGCACCAGGTTCACGGACGAATATCAGCTTTTCGAGGAGCTCGGAAAGTAAGCGCCTTTACCCGCATCCGCACGTTCCCTTTCCAGCAGAGGGCGGGTCGCGTTACCCCAGACCCACCGGCCTCCCGCGTGGGGCGAGGGAGTTTGGGAGACCAGAGGAAAGGGAGGAGGGCCAGTGGTGTGGCAGCTCTGAGAAAGGTGCTGCCTTAGCAAGAGGAGGGGACAGAGACGGGAAAAGACCCTCCACCCCAGCTGGTGGCCCATTCCGATAATCCTAAACCCACCTTCTCCTGCTCCCCCACCCTCTTGCACTAGAGACTTAGTGGATTTACGATCCCTGCAGTTGTAGCTGTCATCCTGAGAAGTGTGCGAGCGTGTGTGTGTGTGTGTGTGTGTGTGTGTAGAGGAAACAAGAACCCATGTAAAATGCAACATAGATCATGTTTTCTGTAAATAGAGATGCCTCCTGGTTAGCCGGCGTGTCGGCCATACAACCCACGTACGGATGAGAACTCACGGCCACAGACGGTGCCATATTTATTGATGCCGAAAGTTCAACTTGTCGTAGAGTCTATTTCGCATCAGTAGTTCTGTCCAGGAAAAGGGTCACCCAAAGGAACTCGAACCCCTGCCCCATATCCACTATTATTCTTTGCATTAGATTATTCGCTCATCATCATCCTTCCTACGATTTACGTGTGCCTCTTCACATTCTCTGGGAGGATTTATTTATACAGGCAACGGGAAAGACCTGGAGACCGAGAGAAAGCTTCCCAAGGGTAGCCTAGCGTTGTATAAAACGACTCCTACGCCCGACAGGCGGAACTACTCGGAGAATTTAAGGAAGGGGACTGGAGACCTTCTGAGGACCTGTGTGCTTAGGGACCTAGGGGCCAAACCGTGAATGTTGATTTATGTAGCATCCAACCCAAACCCAATTCCTCTGTCGCTAGTGTCGACTATTACTTCTGAAAGGGGTGCGTTTATATGTATGTGGTTGTTTTATACAATTGAATTCAAGAAAATATAATTATCCTTTAAATGTAATGAAAATTATATCCTTATATATTTATATGTTGTCTGCTGTTAAAACATGGAGAATATGTCGGAGGAGCAGCTTAATTCAAATCTCTCCCTTCCCCCAGCTCAAAACAGGGCACAGAGAAATCACCATATCAGGATTTGTTAAACCACACAAATGTTCCCAAGATTTATATTTTAATGAAAACAATCGCCATATTTACTTACTCGGAGCCACATTAATTTTTTTTCTAACAAAATAAATAGGCAGAAGATTTTTGCTGCTCCTCCTCAGCCATGCTTTTTGCAGGGTTTCTTTCTTTTCTTTTTTTTTTTTTCCTCAGAGCATTTGGTGCTGTGTGAGTGTGATTGTAAAATGTTTTCAAATTTCATGTGCAAACAAGAGCCATCATAATTGGCAGTTCCTTTTCATTTTGTTGATTAATAATGTGTGCTCCCAGTTAAATAAAATTTACTTTTACTCTTCAACATTAAAGAAGGTTTGGATTTCCAGGAAGAATCGTTCGTTTTCTGGATATTACTGTAGTGCACTGATATTTTACAAATCACTAAATGCAATAAAAATGCTCAGATTGTTGTAATTTTTTAAAGGGATATCAGAGCTGATTATATTGATGACATGCTAATTATTGGTTTTCAGGGGGGCTTTCTCAGTGGTGAGAAGATGTATGAAAATCCCTACTGGACAAGAATATGCTGCCAAAATTATCAACACCAAAAAGCTTTCTGCAAGGGGTGGGTATTTTCAACCACATATACAGTATATGTTAATTTTGTATTTGTCATGTTGATGTTGGTTCTGTTCTGTAGATACATAGTTATAATTGAACTGTAGATTTAGGTGTCCTGTTACATTTTGAGATTATTTCCTTCCAGAATGCTTCTTGGTATGTATAGTTTAAAAGTGAACACATGAATTTTAACAACAAATTATTAAATAATTACAACTGTCCTATGAGCAATAGCATACGTAACTATATTTTAAAGCAAATAAGTGTCACTGAGTGCATTTTGCCTTTAGCTGTGCTGTGAAATAACTTTCAGAAATACCCTGGAATGGAAAAATATAAGTCTCACAACTGTCATTATTCTCTTTTGCTTTTGAGAGGAAAAATAGGTCATAGCTCAGTTGAATCATATTTCAGTTGTAGTTACACTTGAACTTAGTTCAACAAGGTATATTTAACAGTAATAGCTTTGGGAGGAAAAATTTATCATTGCTATATTCTAGGAAGTTTAGCTGGATTTTGATGTGTCTGTGTGCAGTCCAGACCTTTACTGGATCTTCCACATTAAGGCTTCTCATGGACTCCTGTAATGTATTTTACACATGCTTTATAGCCACAGAGATAATTCTTATCATAAAATAGCTGTTGACATAAGCACAAAACTTAAAGGGACCTCACTGCATTCTTTCTATTTTGTTGAACCTCATGCAAAAGTACTTACACTGAAATGTTAGGCATTCTAATTATTGTGAGCACGTGTCTAAGGTATTTCCATGGGAATTTATGGTTTAATGAAATTTAAGTGAAATTAAAATGCACAAATGCCACAGTATAAGCCCATTTCAGTGACCTGGTTTATTTTAAGTAATGAGAGAAGAAATTCTATTAGGGTTAGATTGCCTCACTTAATTTGTCTTCTAAAGAGCCCTGCTTCCTAGTATCCTGGTATCCTTGTATTTGATCTCTGCCGTGATTTCTCCCCCTATCTGTTACAAACTCTCCCTTTACATATACTGGAGGTTTAGATTGGCATTTCAGTTTATTCATTTGAGCGAGATTTTGTTGTGATTTCCTGCATCAGGTTTTAACAGCATTCTGAGGAAAGTCTGTGTACTAAAGTAAGCAGTACCATGGCTTCATAGCCTGAGAACTGCTGAGAAGCACGTTATGCTCAATTAGATTCCCCTTTCCCTCTTCTCTCCAAAGGAAGGTTCTTAACAGTCTAAAGGAGTTGCTAAACTGTAAATGACATTTTAGTTTTTAAAAAGAAAAAAATGAAAATGTGTAATTCTTTCAGTGCTTACATGTTTTGTTTTCTTCCTGTGTGCCAGGTACTTTTGGCAAGAGTAGGGGTATCAGTTTTTTGGAGGCATTACAATACCTATCCAAAATCTCTCGGTGGCTTTAAACTTTCTCTCAAAATAAATCAGTCTTGTGCTTCACTTCTACTGATTTCCTTAATTAGAGTCATCCCTCTTCATCTACCCTAATTCCTACTCCCTACGTCAGAAAGGCAAATACACGTGTCTCTGCTCACATACATTTTATTTTCCTTTCTTCTGCCTCCGGTCTATGGAAGATAAGTTGTCTCTAACCAGATGGGATTCCTTCTTCCTGCCAGTGTTCCTCACCTGCTCATACTGTGCTTTAAAGTGCTATCTACACCCAAAGCCACCTTGCCTCATCTGGATTCAGTGATTCCAATTATATTTAGGAAGAGTAATTAGGTGAAGTGCTAGAAGACATCCTTCTTCTCCTTCTCCAGTTTTCTTTCCTTGTGACTTTGGGCAAGTTTCTTAACCTGCTATGTTCACCCTTCTGAGGAGTGAGATGGTAAAGAAGCAGGTGTTGGAACTAAATGCCCTGGGTTTAAATTCTGATTCCCCTACCTGTTAGCTCTGTAATCTTGGGCAATTTATGTATTTTTGATGAGCCTTCGTTTTCTTACCTGTAAAATGGAGTAATAATGTAACCCTTCCTTTTATAGGGTTTGTGAGGAGTGAATTAATATAGTATAGAAGAGCACCTGATACATAATATGTATTCAGTGAATATTAGCTGCTATTATTATCCCTTGGGTTGTTGTAAGGATCAGATGAGATTACTTACATGAAAGAATGTGAAAATTATAAATCCAGGGGCAGCCTTGATTTAGCTGTGAGAACCCAATTTGAATCTTGGCTTTAGTACTTAGTGTGTAAATTTGGTTTAGTTACTTACCTTTTCTTGATCTTAGGTTCTTTTGCCCCATAAAATGGGGCAAAAATAGTCATAGGGTATCATGGATTGTTTTGAGGATTCAGTGAATTTTATGAGAATCACTTCTTAATTGCAAAGTACTGTGTCAATTTTACCTATTACTGCTCACTTGTAAAATATTACAGTACTTTCCTGTAAAACGTTCAATTTATTTTATCACCACCACAATTAGAGCTGCTTATAGCATATTATATCTTTAAATGTGTACATTTGTTTAAACTATACCCATATTAAGTTACAAACTCTTAAAAATGCTTTCATTGTTTAATATAATATTTCACAGCATTGAGGACATAGGTGGGGCTCAATACAGAGTGACTAGGATCAAATGTGGCTATTAAATGGTTTGTAAAGTTAAATACTTAGTTTATTTAACAAGCGAATACTAGATGTAATCTATAAAGTAGTATATTAAGAACATATGCTTTAAAATATGAACATTGCTTTAAAAACACTCCCTTCTCAGACTATAATAATCCTTAAAATGATCTTTGCAGAAAATTTTAAGATAATATATTTAAAAGGAATTAGAATGATATGTAAATTAGCATACATTATTTTCCTTAATGTACTGATTTGTTTTCTTTTGGCTGTGCATAGCACTTTTTGTGGAGCATATAATTTTTTGTCCAAAATTTTGTTTGTATTATTTAAAATGCCATGCCTTTGTAAATCTGAGCTTTAAGCCTGTTTGTTTTAAAGACCAGGCAGGTCCTCCAACTCAAATAATGTTCTTTAAATGTAGTATTACAACTGAAAAAGAAAGGCCATTGTCAATACATTTAAGACCACAAGGGATTGCCAAAAATTTGGCTATATTCCTGCACAAATTTGCGCATCCAACTATACTGTCACCCAGACATTTTTCCTGTGCCTAGATGTTAATGGATTTCCAGCAGACAGTTTCAGTTGCATTTCCTCTCAGCTGTTAGTTGCACAAACCATATTTGGGAGACTCAGAGTCTGTTGAAGAATTTCTTCCCTTTTGCGTTAACACGTGCATGCACAGAGCATTCATTATGAGATACTGATCAGATAATCTATCTGATATATAGTTTGGCTTGTTTTAAAAATAAATAATGTAGAAAAGTTTCAAACATTTTATATGAAATTTCTTAAGTTTTTCATTAGATGGGATTAGAAGACATGCTTAATAAATGGTGGCTAGTGATGATAGAATTTTATCTCCTGTTTTTACCATGGGAAGTAGAAATTATATCATTTTGGTCCCAGACAATTAGGTTGGTACTTAACAAATGCTAATTTGCTCTGCGGTTTTCATACTTTGTTGATTTTGACATGTTTATAACTGTAACGTATTGTCAGGTTATGCGAAGTCCATGAAGGGTTGTGATTACATTTCAGAATCCAGTGGACTGATGGTTCTGATAGCAGATTTCTTTAGAAAGAGTATTTGTGATTATTTCACATTTTAAAGGCTCCCTGTGGTAAAAGATTTTTTTTTTTATGGTAGTAATGACTTCTTGAAGTTCATTTTCCAATGTAATTTTTGATCATTAGCAACCACTTTTTATTACATGGGGTCTGGTATGCCACAGTCATTGTATTTGTAAAATGTAAACTACAGTAGAAGCTTGAAATAGTATGCTATTACAAATTTTTCTACTCCCTTGGTAAAGTTAAAAAAAAGACTTCATTTTATATTTCTGTAATACTTCACAGATATAACACAATTAAATCATTTGGCATTCTTTGATTTTTGCTAGTTTTGTTAATTCCCAAATTGATGATCTTTGTAGACTATGAATCAGGACTTTATAAAACTAGTTGACCATGTACACCAAATTAGGTCTCATTTATGAAATCTAAATGTTGCATTATGTCCTTAAATAGTCTTTTTTTATGTTATAATAGAGATGTCAATAACTCCTGCTACTTTTTTTTTTCTTCCTTGGCATTCAGGCAGTCAAGAAATTACTGTCATTTTTCAGCCTTATGGTTACTTGTCTTAAATTGGAAAGCAGAACTGAGATGTTATAGATGAATCAAATTGTTCTGATTATACATTATTGATTTGGCAATTTGGAGCTAATTGGGCAAATTAATTTTTTTGAAAGTTTCTTGGAGCAGTGTTTTAAGACAAAACTAGTAAATTATTTTTATTTTTGCATATGGAATTTCTATGGCTCTTTAATTATTGGGCCCCAAAGTGGCATGTATCATTTTTAGCATTTAGTGTCCTTTAGTTATGTTTAGTTGTATTTGCATTCTGACATAGATTTTGATACTAGATATCTATTTTCCTCTTTTGGTGAATGAGAATATTATTGTTGTCCAGACTGGTTAGGAGATAAAAATGTAAATCTGCTTTTCTAGGAAATAATAATCTTTTCTGTATTCCAGCATCATTAAAATAGGCGAACTTAATAAAGAAGGTGGTTGTCAGATACCTTACTGTGATATTAATAACTAGTGTCAACCTCTGCCTGACTGATCATGCAGTAGGAATTGAACACCTGGAGAACCTTCATTGTTTATACAATTAGATTAATACCTTTCATTTCCCTTGAAATATTGAATCAACTTGGTGTAAAAATTAGTAAATTTTTATGGGCCCTTTTAAGGTTAATAATCATGAATTGTTATAAAGTACATACTAGGATTGTCTTGGGCATTTAACTTCATTTGTTAACTAGAATTTTATTTAATTTTTAAAAGTCTTTTTCTTGGGCTGATACCATGGCAGACTAACCCCTAGTGTATCTAGGGCTGAGTTGGCATTTTTCT